GTAATACTGCAGTTTGCTACTAAACAGTTTCAAAAATTTAGCATTTAAAAGTAAGAATTTCCTACTTATAAATTCTCAGAGCAATGATCAGTTTCTGCCTTAGTACATTCATTTAATGGTGATATAGCTAGCTTATTTGATGATATAGATTAGTTGTTTCAGCAAATGTCTATAACTTCAATACTTGAAGAACGAAAAAGAGTGTTAATGGATTTGGAGGTTGTATTAAAACCGCATGACTGCCCAAATATTATCCGTTGTTATGGATGTTTTTTGAATGATGTCAGTTTTTATCAGAATAATTAAAAAAAATTTTCGATTTATCAAATAAGCATTAATTTAATTTGTTTTTTTTCCTTTTTTTAGTATGAAGTACATATATGTATGGAGCTCATGCTTACATGTCTTGAGAAATTGTATAAAAGAATTGGTCACGGTTTTCCGGAAGATGTTCTTGGAAAAGTAGCATTATCTGTTTTGAGGGCTCTTAATTACCTCAAAGTTCATCAGGTGAGCATCTGTATTTTATGCATATAAAATTTACTGCTGTATTTCTACTTTGATGTGTTTTTTTTTGTACATGCATTATATATCTGTTTTAGAGTATCATTCATCGCGACGTTAAGCCGTCTAATATGCTGTTGGATACAAGTGGGGCAATAAAACTTTGTGACTTTGGTATAGCCGGAAGTTTGGTGAACTCTTTTGCTAAGACTCGGGTTGCTGGTTGTTCCGCTTACATGGCTGTAAGTACTCCACGGTCTAGTACACATGAAACCATCATAGCTTTTGGTTTTTTAATCATTCTTTAGCTTGATTATAGCCAGAACGACTAGAAGATGCACATGACTACGATACTCGTGCAGATGTTTGGAGCTTAGGTATCTCGCTGGTTGAATTAGCTAGAGGCAGATTTCCATACGAAGGTTGCAAGAGCGAATTTGAACTGTTATCAAGGATTCTTTCGGACGCTCCGCCTTTACTGACCACTGGCGAAGGATTTTCATCAAAATTCTGTACATTCGTATCTCGTTGCCTTATCAAAGATTATAAATCAAGACCGAAGTATAGGGATCTATTGGTATGATTAATGAATTTCTTCTTAACATTACAATCTTTTTTAGATTTTAATCTATCACACTCACAGGCTGTAATTAAGTTGTCTTTTTTTTTCGGCTAAGTGACACATCAAGGCCGGTTGCTAGATTAACTAGGCCGTAGATTGTTTTATCACTTTTTTCACATGAATTTATTTTGAAAGGTAACGAATGATATCAATAATGGTTTCTTTTCCAGAAAAAAAACATTTTTGTTTAAAAAAATTTAAGGTACAAGAGATTCCAAATCTTATCATTTATTATTTTAAACGTATTTCTGTGTTATTCAAGCATTTTAAGATAAGATTTTTTAGGCAAGAAAACATTAAATGTAAATATACTGTCAAAGTTGGAAGTTGAGAAAACAAAAAAAATTTTTGGTTTTTACTAAGTTAGCAAATAAAAATGTTTTCTGCGAGACCTCAAAGTAAACTGGTCAACGTTTTAGACAGATCAGTGGATTTGTCAGTACGAAAATGGTGATGTGGACGTTGCGGGATGGCTACAAAGTGTTCTGAATGCACCGATTACTTCGTGAACCTTAGAAAATTATTTATTTAAAATTCTTGTCTCTATGTCAGCAGATTTCTTGTTTTACCGTTGCTGCTGCTGTAACCAAATCCATCATTTGAATCAACTTTTTCTACAAAAATCAATTCAGTGATTGGTTTATTCAACAAGAAGAGAAAAGTTTTTTTTTTTTTGATTATGTCTTCTTACCGTTATTTTTTTTTTCTAGTTTCTGATACTTAGCAATGTAATAGGTGAAGAATTGAATATATGTCGTATTACTGAACCAGTTTCTTTTAGCACCTTTCTTGTTGCTCCTTGATCTTGCCTTTAGAACAATTTGCAGGCGCAAACGTTGTTGAAACAAAGTGATTGGAGTTTTGTTTTTCTTTTCCCTTTTATTTTTGATGAACACTGTTCACCGCCTGTCTGTAACAGTTTTGTTTACAATATTCTTATCAAAGCTTCAATTTCATGGGTTTCTTAATTGAAACAACAATCAAAAAAGAAATGAAAAAAAAGAAAAGCAAATGAAAACCGAGGTAAATTTGTATATGTATTTTTTTTTAATTTATCTTTACTCATTGGGCTATTTTGCCTTACCTTATGTTGATCAAGTTGACGAACACTTCTTCATTCAAATGACTGACAGTTGCTCTAACAACTGAAAAGTTGACTTCAGCACTGTTGTTTATTGAAGAACCAACTTTAACTGTTTTAATAAACTTACTCAACAAGCTTCTGACTCCTTTGTATGAGCATTTTTCTCCCCATTAAAGAAACTAAATTAAAGAAACTGTTTTCAACAAAGCATTTGCAAATTTCTTCTACATTAAACATACGAAAAAAAATAATTCGCAGTTTTTCTCAAACAGTGCACTCAAAAAGTAAAGACTTTAAATGTCAGCAGCGTAATGAGACTGTTCTAACATCACTTATATCAGTTGATAAGATATCCAATATTTTTGATCAAGATGTTGAAAGGTTTTGAAGTTTACTTTCTTCTTTAAGGTATTCAACAAAAAATCAGTTGTTTATTACTGAAACGATTCACTGTTAATCATTTCGTTTCTGTTATCATACTGTCAAAATTTTTTTTGGTTGTTTTTTCTGTTTTGAATTATTAAAGTATAATTAATTAGTTTTTTTTTTGTTAAATTAATCAGTATTTTTAGCATAAATATGTCAGCAAAAAAAAATAAACTTAATAATGACAACTGTTCTTGTTTCTTTAATGCCTTAAACAAATGTAAAAAAAAAAAGCATTCTCTTGTTTTCTTTTTTTATTTTGCACTAATACACTTTCAAAAGGTTATATTATAATTTATTTTAGGTAACAGGAGAAAAAAGCTTGTTTATTCTTTTGCCATATTTGAACTGATAACGATTAATAAAACATCAAAAACAAAATGATTCTATAGAGTATATACAGTGATCATAGGTATAACTGAATTTCTGCCAGTGATTAATTAACCAAAGCAAAAATCAGTTTCAGTTGTTAAACCTATTTGTTTTTATAAAAAATCTGTGATTTAGCTGGGGAAAAAAAAAGTCTCCTCAAAAGTAGTTTGCTGTTGGCAGTCAATTTAAAATTCAGAGAAACCAAAACATTTTTTTGCTGGGTTTATAACAGGTTAAAAGGTCACTAAAATAGTAATCTTTGTTTAGAAAAAAAAAAGAAAACTTTTATTGATAGTACAACGATCACTGAACAACAATCAATTGTATTTGAACAAATGCCTGTCAACAATTTGTTATCACCGACTTTACTGCAAAAAAAAAAAAAAACATGCAGTTTTACGATGAAATAAAAATCAGCAGCAGAAACAAGAACTCAGCCAGAACTATTGTACGCACAATTCAATAAGAATATAGATAAAGTTAAGAATGAATCACCGATATTAGTAAGTTTCTTTCAGACAAAATCAATAAGTCATTAATTCAGTCTCCGTTCTGTAGGGCCGGGCAATAGTCGTCTACTGAACAACGATAGACTGTTGCCTCATCGTCATCGTTGAATATCATCACTTGATCATGGTGCTAGGAAAAATTACGGAATTTCTTCTTTCTATTTAACATATTGACGAATTTCTTTTCTGATAATATAGTTCAAAAAAGCTTACAGGAACTCATTCTTCTTTTAATTCATCAGTAAACAAGGAAGAAAGACTTGAAGAATTTGTTTAGAATTGTTTGGTCGTCTTTTTTATTTCTCTATAATAGTATTATTTTTGGTTATATTATTAAATTTGAAAAAAAAAAAGTTAATTATCATTTGATTACAGCTATTTTTTTTGTTATTATTATTATTATTTGCGTTTAAACACCTCTGACTACATATTTAATTGAATGAATTGAATTTTTTTCGAAACTGTTCTTACTGAACTGTTCAAAAGGTAGGCATAGGCATATCAACAATAAGAACAAAAACAAACAGTTAATAATGTTCTTAAAGTATTTACAGTCAAAATATTCACAAAAAAATAACTTTAACAAAACGAAATAAAATTTGTCAGTTTTATTCTATTAATTTTTTTTACTACAAGTTTTTATCTATTAATTGTCTATTGTTTTAAGATCATATTTTGTTATTGCCTCTCTTTTTTGTTGACTTCTTTCAAGTTTTAGGATAAAAGAAAATAATTTTAGCACTTAGCACTTATGATTTTTTGTTCTTTGTATATACGTGATCTGAACTTTTTTGCCTTCTTCTTATTAATGCTATTTTTCAGTGATCTGTTTTGGGCCAAAGTACTGAATGGTTAAAAATTTACTTTAACTCTAAAACATTTGCTGTCGTCTGACGCAGTATTGTCAGCAAAAAATTTGCTATCGCCATATCAGTACCCCGATAGCAGAGGTGAACAGTGTGTTAATTGCTGCTAATATTCAGCTTCAACTTTTTAAGGTTGATAATAATTTTTGTAGAAAAAAAAACAATACCCTAAATAAATTAGAAAAAAAAAACTTTTTTTTACGTGTTTATCAATGTATGCGTCTGTTTTACTGACAAAACCAAAAAAAAATTTTCTGATTTTTTGGAGACAGGAGCAGTCAATTATATGCAAAATCGACAAATATTAATGCTAATACGGTATTTGTAAAACAAAATAGTATAATAAAAACTGTAAAGTGAAATATTCAGTGGAAGCAGTAGAATAGGTTGTTTTTTGCTTTTTTAGTTTTTGATCTTGTTTTGTTGGGATAAACTACGAAAGGTTAATAAAAAAAGAGGTTCTCTGTCTTTTTTATTTTTTCTCTCTTTTTCCTACATATAGTTTAAGCAAAACGAAAAAAAAACAAAATATGAGATAAATTTAAAAAATTTTTTTAGGTGTTAAAGTTTATTGTCAGATAGAAAATTCGCTATTAAACATCTGCATTACTGCTGCTGTTTTTTTTGTTTCGTTGTTTGAAAAACTTAACCTAATGCTGTTAAAAAAAAGCGGAAAAGAACTGATTTTTTTTTATGAATAACTCTGATTTCTTGTTGTCTTATAAACTTTATACAGAATAGAATTTCACAGCTTTAATAAATTTTTAAACAAAATAGGTAATAAAATTAAAAAATATTACATTGCATTTTTTTGTATTTTTCACTCTTAAAATTAATGTTGCTTGGGCTCGAGAACTGGGAAGGTGCCAAAGATTAGCACTAATTGTACGACTTGACAAAGGATTATCGCTTGTCGTTTTTGAAACTTCAGACGGTAGTTTACATTGAGATGCTAATAAATGTCAGAAAAATTTTTAAAAACCTAGAAAATTTGAACATTTATTATTTTTTGTTTTTTGATGCTAACTTTCAAAAATCGTTTATGAGTCAGTTTTACTGCAGTTTTTTTTGGTGTCTTTAAACAGTCATTAATGTATCAAAGCTATGGCTCAGCTGTGTTTTGACTGTTTCTTTTGCTGATTTTAAATGAGTTTTTTTATTTACGTATGCGGTAAATAAATCATTATTTTTTTCTACTTTTATTGCTTCATTGATAAAAAAAAAAAGGAAAAAAAGAGAAAAAAAACGTAAGAAAAAAGATGGTAAAAATTTTGAATTTTGATAAAGTAATAAAATGTCTTTACATGATTGTTATCAGTTATTTTTACTGTCAACACTGTTCAGCTAACTAAATTTCCTCTAAGTTGTTTCCGAATTGTTATTAACAAAGGTTGATATCATTTTTTTTTTTTTTTTTTTTGCTGAAGTATTTGAGAAGAAAACATTGTACATGATTTTTTTTTTTCTTCTGTAATGTTTAACAAATAAAACTGAAAAAGGAAATTATGAATTGTATTTTATTTAGAATAAACACAGACTGTGTAAACTGCTAAAACGTTATCGATCGTCAGTATATTTCAATGTTACAGCTGAAGCTATACTGTGTCAAATACTGGTCAACTGTTGATATCATAGATATTTACTATTTTTCTTATTCATCTATATCCATTAATAAATATTCCTTAGTTTCAAAAGTTTAAAAAATTTATTAAACAAGCGAAAAATAAATTTGTTCTAACATCTGTAAACTTTTCTAAACACTGATTTCTTGATCGGTATCAGCGAACTGATGAGCTGTGACAACAGCAAAAGCAGTCGTTGCTTTCAACTAAAACTTATGGTGCCCCTAAACTGAATAAGCGTTAAGCAACTTGTAAATCTATATCTTTTATCTTCTTTGGCTATTTTTTATTGTTTTGCAACTTAAAGTTTATTTTTTTAAAGATATGTCTCAAAAACTAAAAATAAATTTGTTTGTTGAGCGGTATTTGAGCAGTGAAAATTTATAGAAAAAAGTATATTATTAAAAAATAAACTTTTAACAGCAACAACATTATAGATGTCAATTTATTTTAGAAAAAAACGCTAAAATTTGATTACTTATATAAAGGAAGATAAAATTAGATATGTTGAAGAAGTTTCCCCAGACAATCTCACAGCTTCTCCTTTCTTTTGTTTTTGCGATTATCACATATCGTTGAACAACTGAAACAGTGGTATTCACTTATCATTATGTTTAGTGTTTACGTACTGCAGACTTTATCTGTCTAATTGCTTTCTAGTTGCTTCTAGTTTAGTCTGAGCACTACCGCTTCCAAATTGTATTTATAGCGATGCATAAAGAGAATTGCCGGCACTTCATTTCAGTGAAGAAATTGACTGCTGCTCTATCACTACGGTTAAGACAGACAAATCATTCATCGTAATCTATCTGACTATATTCGTTGATTACCGTTAAACTTGAGTGAGAATTTAAATTTTTTTTTGCAACAGTAACTACTTTCTTCTTTTTTTTCTCTTTTTTTTTTTACTGTGTTTGATAGATTAATGTGGCGATAAATAATTTTAAGAAGTATATTTTATGTGATCATTGTTTAATCGGTAGTACTCTTTATTGCATCATACATACAAATATGTAGGAAAGGTAACTATTATTGAATACGAGTATATATATAATTACAAATATGTATGTAATGTTTTCTTATGGTATGGTGCAAATGAGTCTTGATCGATGCTCAACATTTTGTCATGAATTTTATTTTACTTTCAATTGCCAGCAAGAAAAAGTTTACAATGAACGACAGTAACTATACTATTTTACAAGAGTAATTACAAACTGATAGTGTTCTGATGATTAGTGTTCACATTGAACGTATGTTTGCTATATCTGTGCGTTTATTCGTGGACAACAGTATAAGTGTAATTTTAGTGTAAAGGAATTGTATATTTTGAAACAATTCAATTGTATATCTATTCTTATTCTTTTTTTTTCTTTTTTTTTTTTATTCAGACATGTTTTTTTTACGGCATCTTAAAGTAGTTCAGCTATGAAAAATAGAAGCTATTTACTGGTAATGTTTGAAGCAGAAAAAATTTATTTGTAATTTAAAAAAAAAATTTTTATGATTTATAGTTTTAAGTTATTTTTTTAAGCGGAAAAGAGGCGGAAAGGAAATTGAGGTGGAGAAAGAGAGAAGAGAACGAAAAGCATAAATCGCTATTTTTTTTTCTGTGATGATATCATCACAGTTTATCAGTCAAAATATCATGTGTAAGCGTGGTTTTTTGTTTCTGCTGTTTCTGAAAGCTGACATTCAACTTACCGCAATCGTCAAATTTTTTTTCATTTTTTTCATAACTGCTCTGTAATGGTTATTTAGCACCGATGATCAAAAGAACGATTATTTGATGCGTAAAAGTAGCTGCAAAAAAGTATCGTTATAGAGTGTATAATTTTTCTTAGTTTTAGAACTTATCATTGGTAAAGGCGAAAAAAAAATTGACAAACTATGCAAAGCGATCTAGTCGACTTATATGTGATGCTGGTGATTATTGTAGTCTGTGGTTGCGGTGTTCTTTCTCTGGTCTTCCGGGTTAGTACCCCCTCCCAAAAGTTTTTTTTTCATTATTTTCCCTAGGTGGCACTGAAACGGAATCAGCTTAACACTCTTTTTCTTCAGTTTTTTGCGTTTTTTTTTTCTTTATATAAATCAGTCAGTTTTGATTGTATATACTTCATTTATTAATTCCTCCATAACCAAGGGAAAAATTTTTTCACTATACCTTATCAATAAATAAGAAAAAGAAATTATAATTAATTTAATAAAAATATAATAAATAAACTAGTAACTCAAATAATTAAATCTTTTTTCTTTTTTAAGATTTATGGTAAAAAAATACGGAAAAGATTAATGCAATTTTCCTGGTATGTCACCATAAAAGATTTCTTTGGCTGTTCCGCATCATTGTCAGATATTAACGAACGACGAACTGGCCGATTGAGCAGATTATTTTCCAAAAAAAACCGTTTAAGATTATCCCCGTAATTTTTTCTCTTTTTTTTTTGCCCATTTTTTTGTCTAAAAATAATTTTAATTTAAAAATTTAAAAAATTTAACGTTAGTATATTTTATTAATTTGTAGATTATCAGCAGATTTTTCTTCATAAAAAAGTTGTGAAAAATTATTTGAAAGAAATGTTTTTACTCGATTTTTCATTTTTTACAGACAGTCAACAATATCAACTAATGCGGGATCATACAAAGATAGATCTGTTGGAATAAATGCACAGGTTCAACAGCACCAACTGGCGTCCAATTGTTCCAGTTGTGCTTGTGAATCCGTAAAAAGTGCCGGATTAATGTCGGGAAGAAACCCATTAGCAGCATCAGTTTCTCTGCCTGTATCTTCTAAAAGTACTGTTGTTGAATTTCCACAACCTGTTAAAGGAAATCCAACTATAATCAGTGTCGATCAGCTGTCAGCGTTAAGCCAGTCTAATGTCTTATCATTAGCAACTATTCATAAGCATTTGAATACAGGGAAGGTTTATGGGCCAAGTTATGCAGTTATTATACCGTCTGATCTACTCGATCAACGTTCTTCTATTTCGAACGTACGGGTGGAAAAACTAGAAAACTGCCTCAACAGACCGATAAGAAGCAATTCTTTATAGGAAAATTTTAAGCTATTTTTACTTAACAGCCACTTATTTGCTTTTTCTTGTTCCCTAATCTACGATTTTTAGAAACAAATTCTAACGTTTACAATTTTATGATAAAATACTGATGTACAGAAAAAAAAAATGTATTTTCTTTAATAATCAAAATCTATTATAAATGCAAAATTTGTGGTGAAGTTTAACTGATATTATTGAGATGATATTTTGTTCATCTTGGGTCTTTGGTTTACCGTTGAGCATAATAACGAGTTGTAAGTATTTATATATATGTATATATACGTATTGAATATTTATTATGTTCAAAATAATTTTTTTTTGTCTTTGCATCATATGTGTCGTCATCTTTTTTCTTACTTTTTTATTAATACCTTAAAGTATATCTAAACATATTATTAATAATCTTGTGCAACAGTCTATTCTAAAAAATGTTGTATTTTGTTGTTGTATTGCCCAAGGATGTTGTTCAGTTTTGATACCATTTTTATATAGTTCATGACGTAGATCTAAACTTTGCCTTTTTTTTTTCTCTTTACCAAATACAGAGCTTAAAACTTATTTTAGGCACAATTCTCAGTTAAAATTTTTTTTCTTGTTGTTATTGTTATTAGCAAATAAGTAAAGGCAAAAAGAAAGAAGATTTTCTGATAGATAAAAAAATTAAAGCAAAAAAAAAAAAGCTGATTAAAAAATAAAAAGTGAAAAGAAGAAAAAATTGGTAATTTTATTTGAGACAGTGTTTCACGTTTATTGCATATGATTTCACATTAGTTTTATACACCTTTTTTTGTCAATCGTTCCGTTTGCCTTCTCTCTGCAGTCAATCTCTTTCACTTTTGCCTCTCCTTCTTTCTTTCCATTTTTACTTTACCGTTGGAAGAATGTAAATTTGAGATTTGTTGAGAACTGTAACACAGAAATGTTCAATTGTTATCACTTGTCAAAAACAGAGAGAAAAAAAAAGGAAAGAAACTATTTGTTGCTCAAAACAGTTCGTTACGTGTAAATTTCTTATGAATTGTGTTCTTTTTTTTTCTTCATTGTTTTGCGCCTTGATTTGAAGTCAATGAAACTATTCGTTGAAATCAATAAAAAGGTCAATAAAAAAAAAAGGAATAAAGAACAAACTAAAAAGAAGAACATTAAACAATGCTGTTGATAAAGTACTGTCTTATAAAGCTATAAAAAAAAATGAAACTATAATGATGTTCAGTAATAAAGTGTGAACAAAAATACACAAATTTAACAAATATCAACTAAAAAATCGTAGATCAAAAATGCTTCTTTTTTTTTTTTTTTT